AAATAAACAACTTTAATTTATCTAAAGTAATATATAACAACAATATTGAGTGTTATGGTTGGTTTATGCTCATTTTAAAAATTTTAATGAGAAACATTTTTAAATGTAATACTTTTTATAATTATGTAACACAAAATCATTGTCCATATTTGGATTATGCAGACGATAGAAAGAATATAAACAACCCCATAATCCAATCATCCAAAGAAAATACTTTTATAAAATTTTTTTATCATTATCCTTTATTCAGTTATGATAAAGCCAGGCTCAGAACCTCTTAAGACGAATGCTTCCTCTTGCAAAGCCCCTGCCAATGCGACATGTTTAGTTTATGTTTGTTTTATTTTATTTATTTATTTTTTTACAGTGAAAAATTTTTATATTTAGAATTAGCCAACTGGACCCAGTTTAGATGATCCCAGTTTTGTTGGCAACATTCAAAGCATCATAGCCAGTTGCACATGTGCCTTCTCTCCATGAGGCCTGATCAGAGTGTTGATTTTGGCCATGTCAATGTCATTGAGCTTTTTTCACAGCCTGTTTGTTTTCATGTTTGTTGGCCTTGACATCTACAATGAACACAAATGTATTGTTGTATTGTCTTCTTCATGGCTGACTGGGTAGTCGAGGGAACTTGATGATGGCACAGTGGTCAATTTTGTTTCTCTTGGGGGCGCTCTGCCGAGGATATTTGGGTTGCCTCCGGAGCTCCAGTATCTTGGGCCGTCTGAAGGTGGGTGACATGTGTATCTTCTATTTTTTTGTGGCTGTGGGACGCCTTTCAACACTACTTTCTTTGCCTTCAAAGCCTTTGCTTTGGCTTTGGGAGGAGCAGGGACTTCCTTCTTGGCTTTTGGTGCCATCTTCGTGAAAAGGTGTTTGTTTTATTTTATATCTCTCCTCTCCACTCATCAAATATAATTAGATCACATTTGACTAACTTTCAGTTAGCTCCTGATTTTCAAAACTGAAAATAACAGTTACCACGTTTCAACAAGTCCACTCTCACTTGGCAAATTTGGGAACATTAAGTGAATCCATTTATTTATACAGCAGGGCAGAACTATTTAATTTTGAAACTTAAAAGTAGAGAAAACACTGGATTACATGAAAGAAATGTAAAAGATCCCATTTTAAAATTTTTAAGCAGATAGCGTGTAATTATCTCATGCATAACCAGTTGGAAGGCTTTCGAAGCAATACATATAACCAAATAAATAAGGCATTCGTATAAACGTAAAACTCTTAATATTTATTTGTACATTCGACTTTGCCCCAAACATTATTTTAAAAGTTACAGTTACTGTTTAGAAATTTATTCTTTCCTTTAACTAATGGGATGTATTTTCTATTTAGTGAAACTAAACTTTGATGAATTTAATGTGAAGAGAAATCTTCAGATGTATGCCAATTAAAAAAATAATCATTTTCCCACAAATGAAAAGAGCTTTATTGTGTTTTTGATTGTAAAATATAAATTCTAAAGTGGTTTTTGTTGTTGCTTTGGAACAGAAGAGAAAATGTATTAAGAAAATTGTTAAAAACAATAGTAATCTAAATAATAACCTCTATTAAAGTTTGATTTTTAAAAGAGGAAGCAAACTAAATGTGTCAATTTAAAGACAGTGAAAAGCTTGAAAACTTTTTGAATAAGCAACAACAAACAAAAATAATGAATTTCAAATACTTCTGAATCCTTTAGCTAGTAATGTGAACTTAGTAGTTGCTACCATGAAAGTTCATTTTACTCTGTTCATTGGTAAAATGGAGATAATCATTTCCAGGGCTGCTGTGAGAACCAAAAGAAGTAAAGAGCATGTAAACTGTGTTTAACTGCTTCTTATATTCATCTGCACATGCAAGACCCAAATCCTTCAGATTCCCCTCAGTATTTTGGAAGTAACATCCAAACTATGTGTCACAAGCCAACTCCATTCCTCTACTGTGGTAAGCCACTCCCACCTCCCCTCCTCCTGCCATCACTACAGATTTCTCTGGACAACTCAGTGTGCCAGTATTCCAGTTTGTCTCCTATAGAGCTGTGTGTAAAGGTATTCTACCTGACTTAGAGTTGTTCTGGCTTAGGTGAGTACTATCTTAATGATGCCTGGACCATGGATGGCATTATTATTTTTGTCAAAAAGACCTTTTTCTCAGTACATGTTTTGGGTTTTGTGTGTGTGTGTGTACAACCAATCCTCTCTTCTCCATAACATTCAGCAGATATTAGGGGCTCAGTCTGGTTTTTATTCACTCTGACAATCTCTGCCATGTAATTAGAGGGCTTAGACCATTTCCATTTAACATGATTATCAGTATGGTTGTCCCACAACTCGGTAATGCTCTATTCATTTTCTTTTTCCAGCTTTATTGAAATATAGACAATTAGTTGCTTCTATTTACATTGTACAATTCAATGAGTTTTTTTTTTCAATTATAGTTGGCATACAATAATATATCAGTTTCAGTTGTACACCCTGGTAATCAGAGATCCACATAACTCTCAAAGCGATCACACCACTAAATCTAGTACCCCTCTTCCCCCTTACATATTTATTACAACATTATTAACCATCTTTCCCATGCTATATTCTACATCTCCATGTCTGTTCTGCAACTATCCATTTGTACCTCTTAATCCCCTTGCTGGTTTCTTTTTGCCATCCTCCCAACCCCCCTCCCATCTGGTAGCCCTCAAAATATCTGTATCTATGAGTTTATTTTCTCTTTTGTTGTTTTAGATGATGATGATTTTCTTCTTTAGATTCCACATGTACGTGAAATCATGCAATATCTGTCTTTCTCTGACCTATTTCATTCAGCACAATACCTTCTAGGTCCATCAAGGCAATATCTTTTTCCATCTCCTTCCTTTTAGTCTATGCGTGTCTTTTAATCTGAAGTGAGTCTCTTGTAGGCAGCATATGTAGGGGTCTTGTTTTCTTATCCTTTCAGCCACTCTATCTTTTGGTATGAGCACTTAATTCTTTTCTATTTGCAGAACTTGTTGATAGGAATGTAGTTATTACCATTCTTTATTCCTGTTTTTGATACATGTTTTTTTCTTCTTAAAGAAGTTCTTCCAGCAATTCCTGTAATACTGGCTTTGTGTTCATAAATTCCCTTAGCTTCTT